TCCCAACTTCAGAAAGAGCAGCCACATTTTTAATTGTGGCTGCGGCTATTATTTCACTTCTTTAATGACACCAGAAAATCCAATTTTTCCTGTTTACGAGAGGGTTGGTAATGCTTATGTAAATCGGTCCAAGTTGCCACACCAGGTTTGGTAGAGCAGCTTTTAATTACACACCGACGAGCACCTTATATTTCTGTAGTTAAATGCATGAGTTGTTTTTCCTGTGTGTGTACTAGATAGACGGATTTAAAGCTTTTACTGTGTAAGTGAACAGAGTTGATTATCCTTCGCTTACTCCAAACTTGCAGCTGTACCTTCAATAAACTACACGCATAATCCATGCTTTGCTTCACGGGTTTCATTTCCCTCCCCGGTATTACAAAAAGCACAGGTATTTTCTCAAACACGAAGCTCCGAACGGGCCGGGGTCGGCCGCTCGCAAGAAGCGGAGTTTTAACAAAGATGTATTTTTTGCCAACTTTGTCTGCGCTCCTTCCTGCCGCGCTTTTGCATACCTTTATTCCATCCAGAGGTTAGCGTGGCCACAAGGAAGTCTGGAAACGCAGCGTAAAGTAGGATATTTAACCGCCGGTGGGACGTGCAGCTCGGTCGGGATCTCTCAGCTGGTCTGGGATCTCTGGAGGGAGAAGAAAAGAGCAGCCAGGTCCTTGTTTAAAGAAATCGGTGAGAACCAGCACTGGTAGTAACTAGACGAAAATCATACGGGCGTGGAGTGATAGGATGAGGGGTGATGGCTTCGAACTGGAAGAGGGGAGATTTAGATTGGGTATCGGGGAGAAACTGTTGGCGGTACGGGGGGTGAGCCCCTGGGGCAGGTTGCCCCGAGAAGCGGTGGCTGCCCCATCCCTGGAGGGGTTCAAGGCCAGGTTGGACGGGGCTTGGAGCAACCTGGGCTGGTGGGAGGTGGCCCTGCCCAGGGCAGGGGGCGGCACTGGATGGCCTTTAAAGGCCCCTTCCAACCCAAACCATTCTATGAGTCGATGATCCCACACCCCACCCCTGAAACCCTCCCACAATAGTCTGCTAATTTTAAGAGAAAGCAAGAGAAAAGTGCACCTTCCCAAACTCTTCCTTCCTCAAACGCCCCACCTTCCTCAGAACAGAGGAACCCGCACAGAGAGCAGCGGCTGTGGGATGTGCCCGCGCGTCCCCTCCTCGACATCCTTTGTGGGGAGGGGAAACCCCTCTCCCACCAGTTTGGGGGACTGGGCTTTAGGTGAGATCAGGTTGCCCACTCCCTTTTTCCTGCGAGGGTCCCCACTTTCCAAGGGACGGTGACTCAACGAAAGGTCTCCATACCGTGGGGGGGAAGGGCTTGCCGTGGTGGTGCTCATCCAGCTGGGTGCACAGCTGGATGTCAGGAAAAGCAACCGGCCCTCCCTATCTTCTCCCATGGCTCACCAGGGCGCAGCCGAAAACCCCTGAGACAACTTCGCTCTGGACTGCCCCGTGGGCAGATCTATTCACCCCATGAGAGCTACCCCGAGGAGCGGGTGTCATAATTTATTCCCCAACGTCCCACTCCGCTTCCTAGACTTCACTGGTGACTCACAGCTTGTCTGCCCCGACCTCTCCACGGCTGGAGGATGAGTTGAACCATCACGCCGGGCTCGGTCTATCCATGCCGGCGTGATGGTGATGAACCTACCACTGGTTCCCACTGGTTGAACTCTGCTTCTCTCCCAGCACAGAGCGTGGCGGGTTCAGGCTCCCCACGTCTGCAGTGCTTTTCTGATGGAAAGCCAGATGGTTCAGTGGAAGTGATGAGCAGATAGCAGATCACAAATTATTTTTTAATAGATGGCATGCCTTAGCAACGCTGCCTGGGCTGGGGTGGGGGTGGTGACAGCCAAATGGATCAGCCCTTGCTGAGAAGGCAGAACCCACCCACCTCAAGAGGATGTTTTTCAAAATGGTTATCTTCATCTCTTCTGTCTCAACCCATACGACTCGGACTTCACCTCATTTGTATGTAAATAACGAGCAGAAACACCCAAACAAGAAGCTCCCAGTGCCCCAACAGCTCATAACTCATGTTGATCACCTTCCTGCGAAACAATACCCGCACACCAAAACCCCGCCGGCTCCCCAGGGTACCAAAGCAGCCCAGCAGCTCCTCATTTCTGGGAGAATACCTTTAATCATCTCTGCACTTCTCAACCCCCCAGTATTGCAAAACCCATGTTTTCTGCTGCCTGCTTGAAGATGTTCATGTAGATCAGGCTATTTTGGAGAGAGAAAAAAGGGCCAGGAGGGCGGTTTTGGGGGCAGTTTGGAGGCCAAATCCAGCTCGGTCTCACTCTGGACGTGCCCCTTGGTAGAGCAACAAAGTCTAGTGGAGTTGATCCAGATTAACAGATGCAAATCGCCACATCTGTCTCTGGGTACGGAGCCCACAGACCTCAGCTCCTCCATGCGATAGACCAGCCCGGTAAAGAAACTGCATTTTTTCCCCCAGCTTGTGCATCGCTCGCATACCGTGTGGACAGTGGGCTGAAGGAAGAAGAGTGTGGGAGCCGAAAATGACAATTCCCTCTTTCTTATTGGCAGCCCCACCTTTAATCCCATTATATTCATTCAGCTCTAATATCTGATCCGAACCCGTTTGTCAGCTTCAGGACAATCTGCCTTTTCTGGGGTCAAGAAAGCATGAAGACAATCTCATTTTCCCATCGCACCCGGGCTTTGAATTTCATGCAAATAATCAAGGCTATAGACGTTCATGAATTTCAAGTGACATCCCCGGCAGATTCGGAGCAACATTTTCCAAAGAGAAGCAAGCCGACCTGTTCCAACTGGGAATTTCCCACTGCAATGGGAAATTCTGTTCGAGTGACCCAACTCTCCCGGTTTGAGCCTGCCTGGTGGCATTTCTCTGAGGATAATCACATATTTGGTCTTCTCTATTGGGCAGAACACGAAGCGCCTCCTTAATTTTTCTTCCAGAGATGCCAGTGGGATTTTTAGCTCGTACTTAATGGTTTTGTAGCACTGGGGCACACGAATGTATTTTGCAGGGCATGTAGAGTCCTGTCCTGTAAATACTTTTAAGCTCCAGTCATGCGCACAGCACGGGCAATGCCACCAGGACAGCAACATGCTCCGAAATCGAACGGAGCTCTTAAATATGAAGGATAAAATACTCTAAACATTGCCGTTCCACAAAGTCTGAGACGCCAGAAAATGTCACCACACCCTATTGCATATGCTCTTTTTCCCAAACACTCCTGGAATTAAAATAAGGAGGATTTGTGGGAGTATTTTTCATGTCGGTTAAATCTTTGCTTTTGGCAACATTTTGAATGGAAAGGTTCAAAGGTCTTTAAAAGAAATCACAGCTGTAAAGAGCGAGAAACTCAAGACTGGTTACATCTGAATGTTAACATGCAAATAATACCTTTCCACAAAGCTGGGCAAAGCGTTTTTCAGCAAATCTGCCTCTTTCATTGAAATGCTTTTTAGATCAAGATGAAAATGCATCGATCGGTTGGCTGGAGACATTGCAATGGCAACCTCTGGGTGGGATGGAGTTGTCCTCTGGAGATGCCAATCGAGAGGAAGCCTGGGAAACCTGCCACAGACTAAATACCCGACACTAAATGGCCAGAATTTAAGGTGACATTTAAATATAGTGTCTCATAGGAAAATCAGGGATCCGGACCTGTTTGAGCTCGTCAGCTCAAAAAGACGGTCTCTGCCATGAAGAGGCAGGCTGGATAAATGAGAGCCCCGAAAGAGATGTCAGGCTTCATGAACATCACCCCCGCGCTCCGCCTTCGGGTGAAGAAGCCCCGTGAAGTATTTTTGTTCAGATTTAGCCATTTTATTCTCACTGCCTTTCACTCAAGTTAATTCAGAGGAGTCTCCGCTGAGCTCTGTAGTGATCTACTACACCTTATAAATAGCACAGGGGTATCTGGGTAGCCATTTCTCTTTTTTTCCCCCCTTTTTTATTTCTTTTCTTTTGCTTCGCAGCTAGGAAATAAAATAATCCACCTCTGCAAGCGCACAGAGGCTGTGCAGCTCTCCCTGCCAAAAAATCAGGGAGTTAGATAACTCTTCTAGCTGAGCAGATTCGCACCGGCTCCGATAGGCGTGTTTGAGTGCAATCAGTGTTTAACGAGTTTCAATCAGACAGCTGGCTGCCTGGCACGTCAAAACCATGAAGGCACTAAATTGATCGCTGGACTTCCATGCAACCAAGCCCAGATCCCCAGAGGGATAAAAAGGGCATCCCGCACCCCCTTTGCAGAGAGCCGCACTCTCCCAGTTTGCTGCTCCTCGCCAGTGCCGGGCTGTTACCTCCTCTGCAATGAACCGGCAAACCTCCAGCATGAGAGCGGGAGGTGGAGGCAGATCCTACAGCACGGCCTCGGCTATTATTCCGAGCGGCAACAGGGCCGGCTTTAGTTCGATGTCTGTGGCACGGTCTGGTGGAGGTGGAGGTGGTTTTGGAAGGCTCATCGGAGGAGGTGGTGGAGGTTTTGGCAGTGGTTTTGGCAGCAGGAGCCTCTACAACCTTGGTGGTAGCAAGAGGATATCCATCGGTGTTGGAAGTAGCTTCCGAGCTGCTTTTGGGAGTGGAGCTGGTGGTGGCTCTGGCCTGGGAGGTGGAGGTGGTGGTGGCGGAGCTGGTGGCAGTCTCGGGCTTGGTCTCAGTGGTGGAGGTGGTGGGTACGGCTTTGGTGGAGGTGCCGGTGGGCTTGGCTTTGGTGGTGGACAGGGAGGTGGTGGGGGGTTTGGCTTTGGAGGAGTAGGGGGGCTGGGAGGATTCAGTGGAGGGCTGGGTGGTGGCAGGAACCCAGCGGGATTTGTTGGTGGTCCACCTGGAGTCGGTACAATCCAAGAAGTGACAGTCAACCAGAGCCTCTTGGCACCACTGAACCTGGAGATAGATCCAACCATCCACCAGGTGCGAAAAGATGAGAAGGAGCAAATCAAGACCCTCAACAACAAGTTTGCTTCTTTCATTGACAAGGTGAGACTTCACCACATGCTGTGGAACCGTGGTAGAGGGGGAGCGAGACAGTCTTGTAGCTACAAAAATACAACTTCATAGATCTATAGCCTATTGCATATTTCCTGCCTGCGTGTCTTCATTAAATTCATCAAAAAAGAACATTCTTCTAAAGAGTTACAAGGCAGAAAACTAGACTAGAAACTAGTACGAAAAGGATTAGATCCAGGTTTTGCGCCCGAGAAATAAGATATATTAGATCAAATGGAGAGAGCCAGTTTCAGGTCCAGACTTTGCTGCTTAACCCAGCCCTCTCTGCGGGGAATCACAGCAGACGCGTTAGTCCTTATTGCTGTCTCGCCTGCAAGCTAAAGTCCTTTTTATATTGACTCAACTTAAGTCCTTCCTTGGCTTTTACTTGGGTAAATATGCAGCGTATATGAGCAAAAGGAAAGGCAATTAAGTACCTGTCTTTTAACCTGTAGTACTCAGATCTCAGCTTTAATGAAGGAAGATAAATATCTCTTACAAAGAAAGAAAAACCAGAGGATGTTAAAGAAAGCGAGTGATGAAAGAGCTGAACCCGCATTGTCTAGTGATTGCTCATTGGCTTGCTAAATTAAATTGTCTCTAACGAGAACTGTCCACTGAGGGCAGATGGACTCACTTAGCCCTAGATAATCTGGAGGATATTCACAGCTGGACTTAATAGTCTCTCTTGGTTTGGGATTTCCTTGGTTTGTGCTATGCATCACTCCCAGTTACCGATGACTGGCCAACAAGACGCTCCCAGGTATCTTCTGCTAAACCTCTTCTGCTTCCCAATGCTCAGGTTCGCTTCCTGGAGCAGCAGAACAAGGTGCTTGAGACCAAATGGACCCTCCTGCAGGACCAGGGTCAAAAAAACAACTCAGGCAAAAGCAACCTGGACCCACTTTTTGAGGCTTACATCAACAACCTGAAACGGCAGCTGGCCAACCTGCTCAATGAGAGAGGACGCATGGACGGGGAGCTGAAGAACATGCAAGACCTCGTTGAGGACTTCAAGAACAAGTGAGTGCCCGTTAGCGGCACATCCAGGCACCCTGGGGGTTGAAACGGGATGCAAATGGTTCAGCTTAGCATTAGGCAGTAGGACTTAGCCCACTTAAATTTAGCTTTCTGAAAGTCAAACGTTTAGCCCGAGACAGCCACCAAACTTTCTACAGGAAAGGGAAAAAAATGTATCTCCAGTTTGTGCTCTAGCCCGCAACACAGTACCTACCTAATCCTCCTCTAACGGACCGCTCCTGGGAGGTATCGCTCTCTGCAGAACCCCTCTCTTCCTCGACAGCAGCAGAAGGTGGTCCATCAACATTTTTCCAACCAGAAGACGACCAGGGAGACCTTATAGCGGCTTTCCAGTATCTGAAAGGCACCTACAAGAAAGCTGGAGAGGGACTCTTTACAAGGGCATGTAGTGATAGGATAAGGGGAAATGGCTACAAACTGGAAAAGGGGAGATTTAAGATAGATATTAGGAAAAAAATTTTCACTCTGAGGGTGGTGATCCCCTGGGGCAGGTTGCCCCGAGAAGCTGTGGCTGCCCCATCCCTGGAGGTGTTCAAGGCCAGGTTGGACGGGGCTTGGAGCAACCTGGGCTGGTGGGAGGTGTCCCTGCCCAGGGCAGGGGGGTTGCAACGATTTGATCTGTAAGGTCCCTTCCAACCCAAACCATTCTATGACTCTATGAAAACGCAGATTCAGCCAGGTCACAACAACTTGTGGTGACACTTGCAAAGTAAAATCATCTAAACCAGCTTTCAGCAAAGGAAAATCATCTACATCAGTTTTACCCTCCTTTTTCCATCTGCATTATGTTAAAATGTCATTTTAACCCTTTGAGAAATGGGATTGTCACAAATTTGAGCTGGGCAGTTTCCAGGAGGTTGATTTAGAAACCCCGTACCCGGTCCAGATAACCTTGCAGTCCTACCTGCACCACTTTTCTGCTCACCGAGATATGATGCAGCACATCTTTCCCTTTACCCCCGCAGGTACGAAGAGGAAATCAACCGACGCACAGCAGCGGAGAATGAATTTGTGGTGCTGAAGAAGGTGGGTGAGACAGGAGGTATCAGGGATGCTGAGCTAACCCTAACCATTGCACGGGCTGGGAATGTCCTAAAGGATGGGAGATCTCACGGAGCTGCATCCTCACCCTTTAAAAGCTGTCATCTGGAGTGTGGTTGGGGGGAAAGGAATGGAGGGGCTTGGAAGATGGAAGTAAATTCTTGTCCCACAACATATACACACGCTCACCTGGGCAAAACAGACCACGGAGAACCAAAGATGGTCATTAGTGCTGGGCAGCCCAGGTACCAAGGCCAAATGGCCTGCACCCCCGCCTTATCCACTCACAAAGTTACACACAGCACTTCTTTTGGCCAAGAGGTGTCCTCTTGGTGCTCTTCCAGGGGAATGGGCCAACCAGAGCTTCTCCAGTCAGGCAGCAGCGCCAGTGGCAGCCTCACCCCCAGGCTTGGCCAGCTCTTGGCTGAGCTGAAGAAGAGGGACCAGGGGCCACAGATGTCCCCATGGTTGCTCTTTTCCAGGATGTGGATGCTGCTTACATGAACAAGGTGGAGCTGGAGGCCAAAGTGGATGCCCTGACCGATGAACTCAGTTTCCTCCGAGCCCTCTACGATGCGGTACAGACACCCTCCTCCCCCGATTTCTGTCCTGTTGTCACCCCCTGGATGGTGGCTGCCATCACTCATGGCACTTGAAAAGGTAAGTGCAGCTGACCGGGATCCTCTGTGCTTCCTCGCAGGAGCTGGCTCAGCTCAGTGCACAAGTGTCCGACACCGCTGTCATCCTGTCAATGGACAACAACCGGGACCTGGACCTCAGCAGCATCATAGCTGAAGTCAAAGCTCAGTACGAAGACATCGCCAACAGGAGCCGGGCCGAGGCGGAGGCCTGGTACCAAACCAAGGTGAGCAGACCCATAGACGCCATGGATGCATTTCTGGGGAAAACGACTGCTGGCCCTGTGTAAGGCTGTTTGAGCCACCTCTTCTCCACCTGGACATCTCAGACGCTTTACTCTTCCTTCTGAACCTCAGTTTGAGGAGCTGCAGGCCACAGCTGGGAAGCACGGGGACGACCTGCGCAACACAAAGGGGGAAATCTCGGAGCTCAACCGGCTGATCCAGAGGATCCGGTCAGAGATAGAGAACACGAGGAACCAGGTAGGAATGGCAAGAGGAGCTCGTGGAGCCCCGTTCTGTGGTCCTTTAGCACTGCAGCTCTGCTGTCTGCCACTGCTTTGCTGATCGGGGAGACCTTGGCAGCCACAGAGTACAATGTCCCTCATTAAATGTACTGAATTCCCTCCCGAGAAGGGTACCACGCTGGAACATGTACTAAATCATTCTTGCCAGGCTGGCATTTCAACTCCAGCAATGTTAGCTACGGGTCAATGACCTCAGTCACAGCTTTTTTTCATTAACCCCCCAACCAGAATGTTTTTTTTCCCTTGGGTGACTCTTACCCAAAACGAAAAGCAGCGGTTAGGAGTCCCGATCCCTCCTCTTGCAGTGTGCCACCCTGCAGACGGCCATCGGAGACTCTGAGGAGCGCGGAGAACTGGCCCTCAAAGATGCCAAGGCAAAGATGATTGACCTGGAAGATGCTCTGCAGAAAGCCAAAGCTGACATGGCCCGGCAGCTCCGCGAGTACCAGGAGCTCATGAACGTCAAGCTGGCCCTGGACATTGAGATCGCGACCTACAGAAAGCTCCTGGAAGGAGAGGAGAGCAGGTGGGGGCAAAATCCCTGCAGGAATAATGACCATCGCTCTGCCCCTGCCAGCAGTTGGTCCCCCTGCCCGTCTCCTTCATTTTGCTCTAACCTCCCCTTTCTCTGCCCTCCAACAGGCTGAGCGGAGAGGGACTCAACCCCATCAGCTACTGTAAGTATCGCAGTGCTTGTCTTGCTTTGGGCCCATCAGGAGCAGGGGCTGTGAGGAACCTTGGGAAAAGGGAGGTTTTGCCCAATACGAGATGTTCAGATGCTCCACCGGCTTTAGAGGCTTGCACAGGGGACAGAAGTTGGGTTCGGGTCCTGCGGGTCAAGGTCCTGCTGATGGTGTTTTCTGGAACTGGGTGACTGTCAAGCAGATGTCCAACCCTCTGGTTGCTTTCTCTTGCAGCTGTCATCAGCTCCAACTCTGCTGTGGCTGGTGGAGCTGGGTTAGGAGGAGGGTTTGGTGGACTCAGTCTAAGCGGAGGCGGCGGCGGCGGTTTTGGTCTTGGAGGAGGCAGCGGCGGCAGTTTTGGTCTTGGAGGAGGCAGCGGCGGTGGTTTTGGACTTGGAGGAGGTGGCGGAGGCGGTTTTGGTCTTGGAGGAGGCAGCGGCGGTGGAGGCTACAGCTTTGGAAGCGGAGGACTTGGACTTGGTGGTGGTGGTGGTCTCGGAGGGGGATTTGGAGGAGGCAGCGGTCTCAGCATCGCAGGCGGTCTTGGCTACGGAGCAGGTGGCAGCAGTGGTCTGAGCACCGGCGGAGGGAATTTCAGCTCTGGAAGTGCGAAAGGCACCAACCCAGGTGTGAAAATCGTCTCCAAAACCTCCTCCAGCAAAAAGAGCATAAAAAGCCAAAGCCTGAAGAACGCGACGCAGCCCGAGTAAAACCGCCACCAGACCCTCCCCAAAACCATCGCTCCTGCATCACTCCCGCATCGCTCCTGCGCACCACCATCCCCTCCACCCACCTCTGTCCCGGCTCCTCGCACTGTAGTTCTTAAGAGTTTGGATCACGGTTCAAGAAGAGCAGCGGAGCACGTGTTCACCAGATCCCTCAAAGTACCTGAAAGAGGATTAAAAAGAAAACACGGGCCTAAGCGATTTTCTGAATGGGGAATTATTTTTCTGTTTGTTTGTTTGTTTGCTTTTAATGAGGCTGAGCAGCGCGTTTGTAATTGCGGCCAGCTGACAGCCATCGGCCGGCACAGATCAAATAGCAGGGAAGATGGAAAAACTTGGGGTTTTAGCTCAGTTCTGGCCCACGGGAGCCCACGGACGGGCTGGGAACTTGGCTTCCCTTCAGCCTGCTCTGTCGGCACGGGGGGGATGAACCAAGCTCGCTCCTTCCTGTTAAGCAACACGTCTTTATCAGAGACGGGGGTTATTTTTCTGCTATGTAGAAATACCCCAGGAGGTTGCTGAAAGGTCCCAGGCAGCGGTTTGCAAGCAGGATGGGGCCCTCTTAAAATATCCCTTATCGCAGGAGGACAGAGCCCGTTAGGAGTCACTTCTGAGTCACTCGAGTGCGATAGAAAAAAAAAAAAAAATATCCCTTTTCCCCCCCCGCCATTCACAGCCGAGCTGCGAAAAACATGGTTCTTCCAGATGTGCTGAGCGTTGCATCTGGGTGAGGTCAGGCACAGGAGCCGGGCCGGCGGTTCAGAGCTTGGTGTTAGGAAAGCAATCTGAGATACCTCCACCCGAGAAGCACCACCCATAGGGATGCCGAGTCAACCTGCGACGAGCTTATCTAAAAGGAAGCCCAAACTACTCTCCCACTCCCGTCCTTTCTCTTCATAAATGACGGTTCGCCCATAGTGGCGCCTTCCGCGTCATCTCGTGGGTGCGTTTTGTCAGAGGAGCCATCAGGGACCGATCCACAGCACACGGGAAAGGGCTTGTTTTCTAAATTACAGGATTTTCTAATTCTAAATAATAACCGAGGCAGAGAGTTCTTCGAAAGCCAGATCGGTGTTTGCAGTTAAACTGGGTCACTGTCCTGTCTCACGCCAGGTTTTGTTGGAACGGCTTCAAAAATGCCCAAATCATCCACCAGTCCAAGTCACGCTGACTTTGCCCACTGTCGTGGTAGCGGCAGTCGGGGTGAAAGTCTGAGACAGGGAAAATTCCACTGAAAAAACCGCCTGAAAGGGCCACGTCCACACCGCTCCTGGGGGTATTCCCGCATCTCCACGGGGTGTGGGTGTCTCTGCAGAAAGACCGAATTTGGTAAACCGAAAAGTGCCGTCAGGTTTCAGTGCAGGAGGTGGGAAATGAGGCAACCGGGAGCAGGAGCCCAAAGGCAGAGAAGTGCTCAAAATCTTACTTTTCCCCTTTCTGATGGAATTTACCCCTCGAGCTATTCCGCCGCGTCTTTTTTTATTTTTCTGAAAGTACCATTAAAAAAGAAAATCGCAGCTTTTTCTACTTCAATGATAGCGATACGACGCTGTGTCTTCCTTCCTCTCTCTTTTTGGAATGTGTCCAATAAAACTGGATTGTAATTTATCTGTTCCCACATCTTTTGATTCTAAACCAGAACCAGTGGCATGGAATATTCCCAGCCTTCAGCAGAGCGAGCTTGGAGGGGATTTTTGCTTTACTTTGGGGGAGAAATCTCAAAATTCTGACAAAATTGTAATGAAAAGCTTGAAATCAGTTGTCCCGAACCAAATTGAAAAATCGGAGAAAAGAGGAGGAGGAGGAGGAGGAGGAGGAGGAGGGTGGGGGTTTACCCATTAAGTGACCAATAAAAAAAAGTCAATCACTGTTCATTTTTTAACACATGATGGGGGTTAATCCAAAAGTCCTTCCTGCGCGGAGGGGAGGGTGTTGCACGGCTCTGCCAGCTCGGGAGAAAACCCAGTATTTATTTTTTCCTTTCTTAAAAAGACTTAGCAAACCCAAGCACGCACAGAGCTCTGGGGGAGGATTTTTATCAGGCTGATCTAGATTGAGGATGGGTTTCGGTGAGCTGGAGCAGAACAGCTCCCCAACCCATGCAGGTATTTCAGTCAACCGTCATTGCAAAAGGAGAATTAAAAAAAAAAAAAAACCACAAAAAGAGGGGGAAAAAAAACCCCAACCCTCAGACACACACTCACACCTTATTGCATTTCAAAGAGTCAGACGCTTTGCTCTTCCCTGACCTCTCGACGTCGCGGCTTCGCAAAACTCCGCGCAGCGAATGGGAAAAAGCAAGTAAATACACGCCGGGCCAGCGGCTTCGCTGCGGACGCTCCCACCGCCGCTTCGGCAAAACCGCACCGAAACCCAGACGGGAGCATCCAACCGCCCCTCGTCCCGACAATCAAAGAAGCCGCGGGCAGAAAGGCCAAAGTCCGGGGACAAAACCCCTCATCCCCTGCTGTGGCAGAGGATGCTGCAGACAGACGGGCCAAAATAGAGGGAAGGTTAAAAATAAACCCTGAGTCACCTCCGTTTCTGCACTCACCGGGGCGAACACTGAATTACACCGCACGGGTGTGAGGAATTAACACAGCTAACGACGACCTAACCTTAACTAACCTGAAAACTTTGAATGTCTTTCTTCCAGTCTGCGCTGAAAAAGCAAAAAAATAAAATAAAAAGGGAATAACAGCGTGCTGAAGTGATGCTCGTGGGCAGCTGAGCTCTCCCAAACCACCCTTCGCTGCGCACCCCACCCTCTGGGCAGCCCCTGCCTCCCCAAATGCCATCCCTGCCTCCCAAAATCCCATCCCTGCCTCCCAAAATCCCATCCCTGCCTCCCAAAATGCCATCCCTGCCGCCCAAAATACCACCCCTGCCTCCC